CATTAGAAATGTTAAAAGGAGAGGAAGTGAGAGGGGTAATTTTGGAGATCTGACTGCTTGAGAAGGACTGTCAGGGACATTTTGAACAGCCAGAAAGCAGCATGGGGTACTGGGCAGGAAAACAAGAAAATAGGTTTCTCGAAAGCTGAGAAGGACGCAGAAAGGGGATGGGAGGGTACCAACGACAATGTGCAGATCTTCTCAGAGAAAGGATCCAGCTTTTTCGCTTCTTCCCAGAGACAAAATGAATAGTAACTTCTCTCTTCACAAAGTTGAGAGGAGACAGGATAGAAAGGGTGATAATGACGATACGTGATATAGCACTCGCCATGTGTCAAGCACTGTTCAAACTAAATACTTGAGCCTCCTAACAACCCTAAGAGGTAGGCACTGACATCTCCATTTTACAGGTGAGCAGGTGTGCCCTGCTGGCCTACCTGCAGGTCTGCAGCGTCTGGGGTTGCAGGTCAGAGAGGACAGGGGCCCTTCACCTCCCACCCTGGGAAGTCTGCTCCAGGGAGGACAGACAGACAAATGGGGCTGGTGGTATTTTTTTCATCACATGTGGTATATATGCCTTCAACTAGGGGGAGGGGAAGAGGGACACTTTCTGACATCATCTGTGAAAGGAGGGGAATGTCAGCTAAGCTTCGGTCTGTCTCTAACCTAGATTTTAAGTGGAGCCGGTGTGCATGAGGAGCAGTCACGGTATAGACGCTGAACGGGGAGTCAGGAGACCGAGATCTGGATCTCCCTGGTTGACCTTGAGCAGGTCAAACCTTCTGTCTGGGGTGCACTTTCCTCCATTAAAAAACAAAGGCACTGGATGAGAATTAAGTCTCTGAGGTCCCTTTCAGCTTGGAAACTTCACAATTCTAGAACCTGGTGGTTGGGTATGACAAATTATGATCTCTCTCTCCCACTGCATATGTTCAAGAACATAATATTTTGGGTATAAATATGTCAGTGTCTGCTGTCTGTATGTGTGCATTCCAGCTATATGACTAAAACTTTAGTTGTTTGTGGGTAAATAAGGGATGATTCTTAGTTTCCTCCGGAGAGACCAAATGGCTCTGTGAGGTAGCAATCTAGAAGATCCCTGAGTCAGGTAGGGCGAGAGGGCAAACAGTTCCAGAAAAGGTTTCAGTCTGTACTCATTCTTCAGCGTAGTTATTTTCATGTTTTTCCATTGTCTTTATACCAAACCTAACTTAGTCTTGACATCAACCCTGGAAATGACACAGGTTTATACAGAAGAGGAAAACAAGACTCAGAGATTCTGTGACTTGTCCCAGACGACACAGCTTATTAGAACCAGAGAGAGAACCCAGGACTGGGGCTTCTGACTCCTGGCTTGTGCGCTCTTCCTAGTTTTGCACCAGGTGTCGGAAGAGACAGCGTGCACAGGAAACAGAGCCAAAGCAGGTCTGTTTCTAGGTGAAGGCCAAGTGGGGGCCAGGACGACTTGCCTGCTCCATCCCCATCTCTGCAGCCTACTGGCTGCAGCATCCTTTCGGTCAGAGCAGAGACACAGAAACTTAAACGTAATGGCTATTTCAAGAGCCATGCACTGCAGTTAGAATTAATTAGAATGTCAGAGGGCAATGATAAGAAGTAATAACATTCCGGAGCCTCTGGCAAGATATGAAAGATGTTTACTCATGCTTCTCAGCACCTACTTTGTCCCCTTTCTCAGCGCTCATGTCTGTAAAGCAGAGATGTGATCCTACCACCTCTTGGGGTGGTTGTGAGGATCAAAGGTAAAAGTATCTCCGAAAAGGCACACAAAAGTTTGCTGGTTCACGCCACCAACCATCATTTGTTGAGCACCTGCCGTATCCCAGGAACTCCATGAGGAACTGGAGAAGGACTGCCACCAACAAGAAACAAGATGCTCAGAATCATCATCACCATCTCCACGACTGCCCTCTTTCTCTTTGCCCCTTGTGTTGCTTCCCATCTAGGACCACAAGAGGGAGGAAGGGCCCTGTAGTCCTGTCCAAGGCCCCAGGGAACTCTTGCTAGAGGTCAACCTTCAGGCCTTCATTGGACCAGCAGAGGGAGCCCTCTGCTGTCGCACATTCAACAAATCTTTAATTTACTGTGAGCAGGCATGATTCTAGGTGCTGGAGATACAGTGGCGAACAAACAGACAAGGTCCCTGCTCTTAGGGAACTCAATGTCTACTGGGGAACACAGCTTTTGAACAAACTGACATGCAAATAAACATATATTCACAAGTCATGGTGAGGGTGTTAGGAGGTGGGCAGAGAGGAGTGGAACTCCATTTAGAAGGCCTCTCTGAGGAGGCGCAAAGCTGAGATCCACAAAGGATGAGAAGCTGGCACAGCAAACAGCCCGGGGAGGAGTCCTCCAGGCAGAGGGGGCAGCGTAGCCAAAAGCCCTCGAAATGGGAGGGAACGTGCCTTCAAAGAACTGACAGAAAAACGGCAGGGCAGGGACCAGAGCAATACAGACTGTGGTACTTAATAGAGGGCAAGTGAGAGGCAGGGGCCGGACCCGCTGGGCCTGTAGACTGAGGTCAGGAAACCACTGTAAGTGCACTGCACTTACTTCTAATGCCTTCTGCTCGGCCCCCCAGTGCCAGTGAAGAAATGGCTTGCGTTTTTCTGCTAGTTCTATCTTCCCGTCACGGTGATGACAGGTTGCAGGTTAGAGAAATTTGGCACAGTACAAACCTCCAGAAAAGCCGTCAGCTTTAGCTCTTTCACTTTGGGTTACTAACCTCTAGACTCACCTGACCCAGAACCTATGACCTGGGTGGGTGATGCCAAAGACATTCCTCCCCACCCTAATCACAGGCCTATAGAAATAAACTAGTTAATTCAGTGGTCCTGTGTCTGTTGCATGGGGACTGCTTACTTAGTTTGCTCAGACAGTGCCCACATCTTGGAGTAGAATACTGATTTATCGCTTAAAACCCAGAAGGGGAGACGAATGTGCACAGATAACTATTAAAGAAGAGAGAGTGATAAAAGCCACAAGAGGGGTAACAGGCAGATATTATTGAATTAATACAGCTTTCCATTACGTGTTATGGGAGCCACTGAGTGCTCCTCTCCAACACCATGAAGTGGTCAGTTATTGGTGCTGCGAGCACTACTTCCCACGGGGAGTCACGGGAAGAGAGGCCAGGTAGAGGCAGGTGCTCTCACGTCCTGCAGGGTGGATGGAAGATGGTTAGGAATGTAAACGGTATTTCTGGTACTTTGGGGAGAAGAGAATAATATGGATCAAGGGCCTGAAAAAAATTTCCCTTTGACCCAATAATTCCACTTCTAAGGAATCAAATCTACCCCAAGAGGAAAAACAGGTTTAGTTAGAGCTTGATAGATAAGAATTTGCATCATAAGGTCATTATACTAGCAAATAATTAGAAACAACATTATCCAATCTGGATTATATTAGTGTATCATAATTACATTATGGTACATACTCATGATGGAATAGTATTTAAAGGAAGTTTTTGAAGAATGGTAGTAACTTCTGGAAATGTTCAAGATAATGTTTTAATATTAATATTAAATATTAACAGCAGCAATATAATAGGATAAATGCTTTGACAGAGCAAGGTGGGAATTTCCAGTATTCTTGGGATTCCCAGGAATACTGACATTTGAGGTGGGTCTTAAAGGACGTGCCCGAGTTTCCAGGTGGAGGGGAAAGAAAGGACCAAGTAGAGACCCCTAAATTCTGAAAAAGAAGACTGGGAAGGTAATACACCTGCTGAGAAAGGCGTGCAGAAACCATGCCTCTCACAGAGCCACCTTCTGCAAGCCCATTATCCTTCCTCGAGTGAGTCCACGAGCGAGGACTGTGACCAGGATTGGTGACTTCCTCTTACCAGAGAGGGGATACCCCTGGAGGATGCACCCCGCGGAAAGGTCTACAAAAGATGCTGCGCTGCCCTTGGCTACTGGCACCAGGCATATCCCTACGCTCAGGTTTCCCACGAGAGAGCGAAATAAGTCCCAGGGCCCACTCAGCTTCACCTCCCGCACCTTCCGGTGGCGCCAAAAAAGTACCGGGAGTGTTGACACAGTGCGCAAGCGCAGTGGGCCGCTGGACTCCCCGCGGGCTGTGAAGTTTCATACCCTGGTGGATGTTGTGTTAAGCACGCCAGTCTGAAGAGAGGACCCCAAGGTAGAGTGACAGGCCCGGTGGGGAGGCCACTGAGCCAGAGGGGACCTGAGGAGCCAGAGCATTCCCTTCTGAGGTTCTTCTCTTGGTTCTCCTGGGCTACGGCCTTCCAGGCTCTCCCCACTTTCTGGGGTCTTGCTGGCTGTTTTCTGGCTGGTCGCTGGTCGGCTCCTACAGCTACCCCTTTTCACTTCCTTCTTCATCCCTCTGTGGTCCACTGCCCTGTCTCTGAGGGGTAGGGGTGGGAAGAGTTGAGAGTAGAGGCTGGGAGGAAGAACAGAGTCTTTGGCCTAGCTGCAAGCACTGTCCCCTGGCCTGGCTTGGGGTCCCTTAGCTCAGGGGTTGGTCTCAACTGTTTCTCACTTGGTAACTGTAGATCTCCTGGATTCCTGACCCAGCCTATTCAGAGACTGAGGCTGCAGTGGTCTCTCAAACCCAGAATGAGTTTGGATAGGACCAGCGCTGTTTATTTAAGGTGCTAGTAGCTCTGGGCAACATCAGTCTCTTCCAGAGCTGAGACCACCCCTTGTTACAACTCTCCAGGAGGTGGGGTGTCCAGTGGTCTGCGTAGCTGAAGGACACTGGAAAATGTGAGCTGTTTCCTCTTTAAAATGTGAATTTGAATGTCACTTCTGGTCACCTGCACTCTGCAGCTAGTTGTAGATCCCACTCACTGTTGTCTTATACTTGTCCCTTTGTAGTCATTTACCTACCTAGTCATTTGTAGTCATTTACCTACCTAGCCCCTGAAGACAGCGAGCTTCCTGTCACCGGACGTTCGCATCTCGGCAGCCTCACCTGCGGGAGTGCTCACACATGCTGCTCCTCTGAGCCAGGTCATGTCTCACGTGGACGAAGCAGCCCGCCGGCTGTCCAAAACCGGGACATCCCTCTATGCGGTGCTGGAGCTTAAGAAGGGTGCCTCACCTGAAGACATCAAAAAGGCCTACAGGTTCAAACCTCAGCCCCTGATCAAACCCTGGACTTCCCTCCTTAAACCCATTTCTTTCTGCCTTGCTGCAGCCCCTTTTAAATGCCCACTTTGGTGCTGGATGGGGCTACTGTCCTCTTCGGTGTGGCGTGGGAGGGAATTTAGACTTGGGCTGCTTGCCTCCATCCTTTTTTTCCACATCTAATGCATTCCTCCTTCCCTGCCTAGAAACCTATTCCTGTCATTCACCCTCACCCGCCCTAACTACTCCCAATTCTCTCCCCACCCGCTGTTGGGAATTGCTTGGGTAGGAAACTGGCCTTGAAGTATCATCCAGACAAGAATCCAGGGGATGCCCAAGCAGCAGAAATATTCAAAGAGGTCAACACAGCCCACTCCATCCTCAGTGACCCTACGAAACGGAAAATCTACGACCAGCATGGCTCGTTGGGAATATATTTGTATGATCACTTCGGTGAAGAAGGTGTCACGTACTATTTTGTGCTGAATAGTTGTTGGTTCAAGGTACACAATTCTTCTTAGTCCCTTAAGAATCAGGAAGGAGGGGTGGCCCTCCTCTCCTAGGGCAAAGCTTCTGTTGCCTCATCTTCCGGGTGCTAGGAGGATGGAAGGAGGGAGCTTGGATGGACACATACAGGAACTGTGGGACTGGGGCCACTCTTTCCTGCCTTTTAGACACTTCTCCTCCTGTGTGCTCTGCTCACCTGTTGCTGCTGCTGCTGCTGCTGCTGCTTCTGCTGTGGCCAACTTAAGCCGCCATCTGAGGAGACATTGAGGAGAAGACACGAGCAGAATGTCCAGAGACAGCCTCCGAGATCAGGTGAGAACCGCAGACAGGCACCGAGGTAAGAGCTGGATGGCAAATGAAAAGTATCGTCAGGAGTGAAACTGTGAACCCCTGAATATGAGAGTCTCAAGTCGTTATTGGGGCAAAGTGAAGAAAGGGAAGGGGAGACACTTGTTTTCTGAAGGGCTTGTGCTACAAACTGACCATTTGAATGTAATGTTAGCCTCTGGACAGTCAAGATAAGGAATGGATGGGAGTTAAGGTAAGCAATGGGTGGGAGAGTGTGCCTAGAAAAGGCAGGGACTGAAGGCAAGTTGGAGGATGTGGTTTATTGTGTTTATTCAAGAGGAAGATGAAGTGTCTGAGATTACTGTATTTTGCCGCGTATAGTGCACCCCCACGTGTTTGGCCCAAACTTTCAGGGAAAAAAAATCTTTCATTTTAATTTTTTAATTCAATTTTTTATTTATGTAGAAAACCAACGATCATATTTCAGAGTATTATTTTGCATATGGACATCATTATTGCTTTTGAGAGTTACACTTTTAATGCATAAACATAAATAAAAGAATTAAAAACATTTATATCGATATGGAATTAGTACTACCCAGGTATAATGAGCATCCTTGTTTTTCCCTAGAAAATTTTGGGCAAAAAGTGTGCACTATACACGGCAAAATACGGTATCTCCACTCTCACTAGTTGAACTTGAAAGTGTGAGTTGACTGAAACCCACACCAGCGCCACCTAATGGTGCTGATGTGTAACTGCAAAGCAATGCTTTTCTCACCAGTAGGCTAAAAAACTGTTACTAAATGTTTATATGTTTTTTCAATTTCATCCTAGAAAACAGAGAACATTTTAGAAGAGGGGAAGCTACTTATAGTGAAGACGAGCTTTAAAAGTTGAAGAAGAGTGAGGTATGAAAACTGAAACGCGGCAATAATTAAAGGATAGGACAAGAACATACACTAAGTTCAGATGAGTCACAACTGGGAAGTTTACGCCCTCACAGCAGTGGTTTTCCACCAGTGCGCCACCAGAATTTTTAAAACACGGAACACCTGACTATTTAGTTGGGGGCATGGACCTTTTTCCCTTAATTTGTCAAATGAAAAAATGACAACAGCTGATACAACAATAGCCATCTGGTGTGAATGAATCAAAATTATACCTAAGTTTTGGTCCTATTGGAAAAAATGTATTTTTGATGTGCCACAGCATTTTAGTAATTAGTTTATGTGTGCCATAAGATGAACACGGTTGAAAATCGCTGCCTTACACTGTATAGACTATAAGTGTTTATATCCTTATCTGGGGGGGGGTTGCTTTACATCCTGAGTGCTCATTCCTTCTGCTTAATACTACGCCAACTTCTGTCCTTAGGTGCTGACCCAATAAAGGTGTCTTCTGCTGCCCAGGCCATTGGTCACATTGAAGAGAGGAGCGAGTAAACCTGACATTGACCCTCATTTGCCCCTCCTCTTGTAACAATCCCAGCTCCAGAAGCATTGATGGTGTCCAGCCCAGTGAGGATGTAGTCTCTGTCCTTGATGGTGTCACTGACCCTGGTGGTCCAGGATTGCCCAGCTACTCTTCTTTTTAGCTCCAGTCCCAATTTTAATTTGAGAGCAGACCTCCCATCCCTACCCTTAGGAGGTCTCAGACAGAGGTGACAGATTTTCCCTAAGCACCCTTTTTCCTGTGCCTCCCTTGGGATTTTAGCCAGTGTTGGCCGGGTAGGGTCCCTGGGTCACTTGTGATATCTCCGCCAACATCCCAAAAGCTGAGCAGAGTGGATCCCGCCTCAGAGCTGCAGAACCAGTGAACCTTCCTTGGCAGCTCTGTGTGTCCAGAACTCTTAGCGTCGGACTCCTTCCTGAGCCAGTACACTTCCCTGGGCCGCTGTCGCCTTCTTCTGGTGCCCATACACTGGACATTGCCAGCCTCATTCCGTGCCCCCATGAGTCAACTTAGGAAAAGTATGAATGCATCTGAGGCCTATGGGGGCTTCTCCTGCCTTTGGGGCGTCCCTGAGCTGCAGCTGCCCACATCGCACCCGTTAGTGCGGGGTTGACTGAGATTCACACCTCCGTGCCTGTTTGCCTCCGTCCTTCCACCACATCTGTGTGGGCTGAATGCCATGTATCTTGTTTTTAAAACAGGGGCATGAAACACGTGATAGGGAAGAGCTTGTACTTCTACAGACCCTCTCCCCACTTGTGCCTCTTCACGGTAGGGCTGGTTGCCCTACCCTGGAGAACACCTTTCATTTCCTGTCCTCTCAGGGCCAGAGTCTCATAGCTCCTCATACTTGTCTCTCCCCACTGTGGGGAGGGCTGAGGAATGTCAGTAAATAAAAGAGCTTTTGTCCAACTTCCAGCCAAGATGGAGGCGTAGGTAGACACACTGTGCCTCCTTGCACAACCAAAACAAGGACAACAACACATTTTGAAACAAAAAATAACCAGAACTACCAGAAATGAAACTGAATGGAAGTCCAACAACCAAGGAGTTAAAGAAGGAACATTCATCCAGACCAGTAGGAGGGGCAGAGATGGGCAGACAGGACTCACGGCTAGGTGCAAAGCGGCGGCTGGTGGAGCGGGTGGTCCCACATTTCCCTGCAAATAAACCAGGAGGAGCAACTGGAGAGTAAGACAGGCCACGCAACCCAGGGTTCCAGTAGGGAAATAAAGCCTCAAAACTTCTAACTGAAAACACCTGTGGGGAGTTGAGGAGGCAGCGGGAGGAACTCCCAGCCTCACAGGAGAGTTCGTTGGAGAGACCCACAGGGTCCTAGAATGTACACAAGCCTACCCACCCAGGAATCAGCACAAGAAGGGCCCAATTTGCTTGTGGATAGCAGGAGAAGTGACTGAAAATTGGCAGAGAGTGGAGCAAGTGGCACTGCTCCCTCTCAGACCCCTCCCCCACATACAGCATCACAACGTAGTGTTAAGGGTTGCTCTACCCTGAAGAACACCTGAGGCTCCACCCCTTACTACGTAACAGGTGCACTGAGACAAAAGATATGTTCCAAATGAAAGAACAGATCAAGGCTCCAGAAAAAATACAACTAAATGATGAAGAGATAGTCAACCTATCAGATGCAGAATTCAAAACACTGGTAATCAGGATGCTCACAGACATGGTTGAATATGGTCACAAATTAGAGGAAAAAGTGAAGGCTATGAAAAGTGAGATAAAGGGAACCAACAGTGAAGGCAAGGAAACTGGGACTCAACAATTCGGAGCAGAAGGAAGAAATAAACATTCAACCAGAACAGAATAAAGAAATAAGAATTCAAAAAAAAATGAGGAGAGGGTTAGGAACTTCTGGGACAACGTTAAACATGACAACATCTGAATCACAGGGGTGCCAGAAGGAGAAGAGGAGGAGCAAGAAATTGAAAACTTATTTGAAAAAATAATTAAGGAAAACTTCCCCAATCTGGCAAAGGAAATAGACTTCCAGAAAATCCAGGAAGCTCAGAGAATACCAAAAAATTTGGACCCAAGGAAGCACACACCAAGGCACATCGTAATTACATTACCCAAGAATAAGAATCAGGAGAGAATTTTAAAAGCAGCAAGAGAAAAGGAGACAGAGAGTTCCCATAAGACTGTCAGCTGATTTCTCAATAGAAATCTTACAGGCAAGAAGGGGCTGGAAAGAAGTATTCCAAGTCGTGAAGGCAAGGACCTACATCCAAGATTACTCTATGCAGCCAAGCTGTCATTTGGGAGAGGGGGGAAGAGCTCCTGTCCAACCCAGTGCATATGTGGGGCCCCAAAAGACAAACTGCCGGGAGAGAGAAAAGGCCCGCAGGAGAACCAGGTAGAGGGCCAGTGCTCACATCTGAGACCAGTCTGCCTGGGAGAGTGGGAGTCGGCACAGCTGTGAGCTGGGGCCAAGGCCTCCCGCAGCCTTGTGATGATGACTTTGTCAGAGCTCTAAAATGTCCCTGGAGACTGATTCCCTTGGTACCCAAAATAGGTCCCTGGCACTGAGGTCCCTTCAGCCCAGCTCAGCTTCTCTCAATTTCCTGACAAATCTGAAGTCCTTGGAGTGGCTTCGGTGATGTGTCCGTGGGCCAGAATTGCACACGTTCCTGCGCACAGGCTCCCGAGGTGGTTCTAGGCCCTGGCACAACGGTCAGCTCTAGCCTCCCGGGCTTCTTTTCCTAGGGCAACGCAAGAAAGTTCTGGGCAAGAACAGAAGTGGACCCCATGTGTTGGACCAAGCCTCTCGAGTCTCTGGTGCCACTGTTCTGAATCACGGGGTTCAGAGGAAGAGGGCCGAGGTCACTGGCTTAGCCCTGGGGGCAGAGGTTTTCACCGACTGATCGTAGGTCTACTAAGATCTGCCCTCCCACCCTGAGCCGTGTGTGGCCCTCTCACACAGGTCGATTTGGGCTCTGTGTCACCGCCCCTGGAAGGAGGGCCCCAGCCAGAGCCTGGGGCTCGGGCTCACAGGAGCCTTCCGATTGAGAGCGACTCAGAGCAAGTGAGAGCTCAATGCCTTTGCTGGCCCACCTTTCACCACATACAGTGAAGCTCACCCTTGCTCTTGCTCTTGCTCAAGAGAGTCACCCATTCCTGAGTGAGTCAGGGTCATTCATTCGGTGACAGCTGTGGCTCGCCTTACATGAGCTAAATTGGGAGTTGGAATGTCACACAGATGCCCCGTGCTCCCCACCCCCACGTTAAAATTAATCTCCTCCCTGGGGAGTGAGGGACAAACAGTGCTGCCCATAGAGTGAACGAGAGTCCTTTGGGGAACAAAAGGAGAGATTTCCAGGGGCAGAGCTACGCAGGGAGTGAGGGACCGAAAGAGCTGCATGTGTCTGGCTGGGTAGAAAGCAAAGAAGAGAGAGACGAGAAGTGTCTGAAAACAGCTCTCCGAGGACGAGGTGCATTTCAGAGAAAGGCACAGGAGAGATAGCGGAGCTATTTCAAGAGCGAGCAACAAAAGGGAACGTAAGCATCCGCAGGCTGTCTAACGTACACGAGGAAGGGTCCAGAGGCAGTGAGGGAAGGCCAGGGCCAGGGCCAAGGCCGGGTAGGCACCATCACTGAGGGGATGAACTTCGCAGTGGGTTTCAAGCCGCTGCTAGGGGATGCACACAGCATGGACAACCTGGAGAAGCAGCTCATCTGCCCCATCTGCCTGGAGATGTTCTCCAAACCGGTGGTGATCCTGCCCTGCCAGCACAACCTGTGCCGCAAGTGCGCCAATGACGTCTTCCAGGTGGGCCGGGGCGGGGGCAGGGCCCGGTGAAGCAGTGCGGACTTGTGGGAGACCGCTCCTCGCTCCTCGGTCGGAGCTGAGCCCCCAGGCAGTGATGGGCAGAGCGCTCTATGAGATGGGTGGGGGCTGTCCTGGCTGAAGGGCTGAAGAAGAGCCGGGGTCCTAGGAGATGCCAGAGCAAGCATGAGTCAGCAGCTGCTCTGCAGGCTGCCGAGGACAGCCTATGCGTGGACAGCCGCCAGGATGGTGGTATGGACAGAGGAGGGCAGACCCCCGTAGGAAGTGGGAGGGCAGCTAGCCTGCACCAGTCTGCATAACAGGCTGCGCTAGACTCTGTGTCGCAGTCTCGAGTTTCAGATTTTGAGACTGTTATGGAAAATCCGGAGACAATAGCATTGAGATAACAAAGTATTAAACAATAAACCCTGTGAGAAAGGGCCACGGTGACAGTGACACTATCTGTATTTGAGGTGCAGCTCAGCGCATCCATCTTTGGGGGGCATTGTCCCTGATCAAAAGAGTCACACCTGTGCCCCACTCCAGACTGCTCAATGAAGGAACCTCTGGTTAAAAAAGATTAAGGTCACGTAAACAGAAAGAAGGCAGAGAAGACGTTTTCTCAGAAACGCAACCAGTTCGGGTTTACCTGTGGTCACGGGGCCAAACAAGTGCATAGGTATCATTTTAGCCACTGGCTCCAAAAAGAAAAGCAGCATATACCGGAATGGATTTTTTTCCCCCATTTAGCACTTCATTTATTTTTGAGAGAGAGGAGAAAAGAGGGAGAAAGAGGGGGAGAGAAACATCTCTGTGTGAGAAAAACATCAGTTGCCTCTTGCATATCCCCAATTGGGGACCTGGTCCACAACCCAGGCGTGGGCCCTGACTGGGAATCGAACTGGCGACCTTTTGGTTCACAGGTCAGTGCTCAATCCACTGAGCCACACCCCCTAGGACCAGAATGGTTTATAAGTAGGCTATCTTTTTTGCCCTGTGTCACTGGTATCAGCTGTAGTAATCTACAAACGGGACGTTTGATCCCAGTTTGTAGATCAGGGAGAGAGGGGAAAACACACACACACACACACACACACACACACACACACACACACACCTCTTGCTAATGAAGTAAAATCCCTAAACGGACCAGAGCTGGCTGGCTTGTATGCATGGCAGCAACAAGGGACACCACGAACACATTCTCTCCATCTGTATCAGAAATTACAAGGAAGTGTGCTGAACCCAAGTGATTTTTAACTTAACCACGAAAATACTTCCCTTGTCAGTTCCTTGGGGCAGTCGGTTTGGGGGGATGCTCTGGGCTCATTGAGCCTGGTGGCCCCTCAGCTGTGCCCCGGGGCAGACGCTTTTTGCTGTCTGCCATCTTCACAGAGTGCCCGGCAGTCCTGTCCGCCATCTCCCTGTGGAGGTGCGCTCCCATCTCCTATTCCTCTACGGGTCCGTTCGGCCCTGGAGGGTCTCAAAGCAGTGCTTTTCCCGCTCTGGGGGGCTAGACTGACTGTGGTGCCCCTACCCTGGGCATCAAGTCGTGTACGAGAGGCTGTGCCTCGCCCACCACCTTGGGTTTTCCCTTCGTCAAAGTAACTCTCCACATCCTTCAGGCTGGGACGCCTGGGATGCAATGGCAAAAAGTCTTGGCCTTCCCTTCTCATGAATGTGGAGTGAAACAGCCTATCATTAGAGCCTGAAGTATGTGAAAGCAAAGAGAAGTTTTGAAAGTGAAGGTAATGGGTCTGCGAAAAACAGTGGTCAGAATAATGAAAGTGCAAGACACGCAGCGTCACCAGGCAGAGGGACCCAGGGACAGGAGGCCAGAGGGTGTTTAAATGACCTCCCTTGCCCGAGTTAGCCCTCTGCATTCAGGCACACTTGCTTTGGTTCCTCAAAGCTCTGGAATACTGATCTGGGACCCGAGAGACCTGGGGATGCTTCGGACCAAACCCTGTGCAGAATATTGGGGAGACGATGTGATTCCCAGGGCTTCGGGGCAGCTCTGTGGGTCTCTGCAGGTGCAGAGCGCCCCCGGGCCCTCCAAGCAGACACGAGCGAACAGCCTGTTTGCCTGCTGCTTTATTTGGGCTGGCCTGGTGGGAGGCTGACCCAGTTCTCCGGCGGCACTTCTGTCTGTACATTTCGGCAGATCCTCCTCTGAGAGATGAGCATATTTAGTTTTTCACACATTGCCTCCACATTTTGACAACTCTAGGCATAATCAGATTGTCTGTTTTCTAAGTATGGAGACAAGAATAGGACTTTTGATTCCTCTGTCTTTAAGCCACTTAGGAAGTATACTCTTAGAACATTGCCTAGAAAGTTAATAGGACTTACAAAAGTGATACCAGTATGTTACACACACACACACACACACACACACACACACACACACTTTTGTTTCAAACAGGATAGGAGTTTATATCATGAAAAGTGAACCTTCCCTTCAGGTGCTAAATTCCCTTCTGCAGATGGAGGTAGCCATCACCAACTGTCTTGGGTGGCCTTCTAGAAATTCTCCGTGGATAGGTGTGGGCATGTGTGTATACATACACATCTATTTAAACTAGACTCATTATTCCACACCTGCCTTTGTTTACCCACTCTTTCTTGGCAGTTGTTCCGTATCCACACATTCAGGTTTTCAGATTCATGTTTTCCCTTTTAAATGGCTGAATGGTGCCCCACTGTCACGACTGGACCACAGTCTGCTTCGTCGGTCCTCTGACACATCTGGGCGGTGCCCAGCGTGTTGCTGCTCTCAAAACTGCCGTGATGGACAGGAAACAAGAATTGTAGAGCATTGTGATTTTATCACAGCAGGTAAGCTAGAGAGCCGGGGAGCAAAATTGGACAAGTTAAAACATTTCAGTGGAAATGTTTGACAGTCTCAAGGATTTGGGAGGAAATCATCCATAATCCTACCTCTCCCAACGCAATTAATTTACAATGAATTGTCATGTTTGCATATGACTTTCAAGCCCTTGTCCCCATCCATATTTTATTTCTATATGGTCGTTTTTAGAACTGTTCTCTCTCTCTGTCTGAATTTAAATATCATGACGCACCACATTAGCCCCCTCTCCCTCCCCTCTCCCCACACTGCACCCACTCAGCTACCAGGCATTTTGACTAGAAGAAAGCTGTTGGTGTGGGAATCTGTCACAAACATCTCTCTGTGCTTATGCATTTGTAAACTCTAGTCGCTCCTGAAGAGCTTTAAAGCAAGCCTTCTGTGTATTTTTATACATGCCCCCACCTCACTGCGGGCACTTGTTTATGAGCTGCAACCTGCTGTAATTCAGCAGACAGTCAGGCGGCCTTGTCAGACTGCTCAGGCACGGCTTTGCTGGGGATGTCGTTTAGGGAAAGATTGACAGAGATGGAAACACCAAGGAAGGGGCCTCCTTCTCGAGGAAAGCAGTGACCTCCGTGTTGTGCCGTCCCGCCCCGAGCTCCAGGTCTTTATCAGGTGGTAGTTAGGACGTCTTGTCGTGGAGCACAGGCCTGCGGGCAGAAACCCCGCACAGCCTGCCTGCTGGACCACTTCCGCCTGCTATGGCGGCCTGGGGCGCATCTCCTGTGTGAGAAATGGGTTTATTGAAACTTTGTGAATCGCATTCACCTTGAAGCAGGGCTGAAGACCTTCCCAACTTGGAAGAAGAAACTGGATTCTTCCAAGTGGGGGACGGGAACCTAGACTGAGACTTAGCATTCCTGGGATCTCCCCAACCAGTTTCTTCCTTCATTTACCGTGTGATGTAAATCAGGCTATTTCACCTCTTCAGGCCTCTTTACATACGTAAAGAGAGAGAAAAGGATGTTTTATGGAGATCTTTAACGTCCTTGTAATTCTAACAATCTGATTTTACAAGTTCAAGAATTATCGTGGACTTCCAGTTTAAGGCTTTCCACCCCGGTCCTGGCGTCTGCACTTGACTCACTGTTCTGCTTCTCAGCTTCCTTTCAACCAGCCCCTGTCCGCGAACCCCTTGTGCCAGGCTCCTTGCCGGGTTCTGTCAGGCAGAGCTCACCCTCCACTCAAAATCACTCTCCCACCCACTCCTTAGCTTTTGCCAATGCCTGGATGCTTCTGAGGCTCTTCAACTTTTCTCCAGATGTCCCGTCATTTCCCCATGGTTTCTCCAGCACATTCCAAGGCTGGCCCCGAGCACCTGGATGCATGGTCCATTATGCATCATTGGCCAGGCCACCCATTTCGGGGAGAAGGCCTCCAATGCTCTCCACCCCCTTGCATCCTGGGCCAGCATCCCAAATCAGCATCACTCTGAAGAGCCAGGAAAGAGGAAGAACGTTCTGACCTAAGTATAGATTTGATAGAGTAGCTGCTTTCACAGAGCATCTTCCTAGGTGGAGCATTTCTGTGAGATGCTATGACATGTCACGAAGGAAACAGAGCACACCACGGAGCCGAAAAGAGCGGCTGCTCACGGCGTGTGTGCTGCGTAAAAGCCTCGAGCACAGCCTGGAATTAAATTCCATGTATGCGTTTTTCCCATTGTGTCCCTCACAGGAAAGGAAGAACAGTTATTTCAGATCCTGTGGTTCTGTGTGGGCATGTATTTTTAAGATCTAGAGCAGTGCTTTATAATTTACAGAGAATCTTCACATGCATGATTCCTTCCTTCCTTCCTTTTCAGAGAGAAGGGAAGGGACAGAGAGAGGGAGAGAAAGCTTGTGAGCCCCCCCGGGGCTCAGCCTGCAACCCAGGCACACATCCTGACAGGGAGTCGAACCAGCGTCTTTCTGGTTCACAGGCTGGCGCTCAGCCCACTGAGCCACACCAGCCAGGGAGTATGGGCATGATTTCATCTGAGTTAGGTGGAATGGGTGTTATTGCCATTTTATAGGGAGAACACAGGAAACGGTCAAGTCACACAAACAAAGGGACAGAGTGGGGACATAAATCTTGAAGTTCTGTTTCCTGGAGTGATGGAATTTCCTTTACACATCACATCATTGGCACA